ATTTTGAAGTTATGTTATTAATATGTTAATTATAATAATTACGTTAATGTATCAAAAAGAAACATTTGATGGTTGAAACGCATCAAAAATGTAACTTTTGTATCACTTAATGCGTAGAAATTGAGTATCTGTCGCTACGCTCCAAACAATTATTAATACAAACCAATAGGATTATCGCTACCAAAAAAACAAAGACTGCATGAAGATAAACATATAGAATCTTATATAAATATAGATAATTATAATGAATCTGATCAAGAGGATCAAAAACCAAATTCAGATATAGAAACTGACAATGATGACATAATAGAGTTAAGGTTAACACCATTTTTACCTCTAAATGAAGAGGAATTATCCAATGAAGAATTATTATTCAATAATGAAAGATCTGAAGAACTTAACTGTAAGTAATTAATAGATACTAACAAAGTTATTAGCTTAAGAATTCTGAATGTTAATTAATATTTAACTAGACAATCAGCAAATTTCACAAAAATCAGATGAACTTCAAAGAATTTCATATGAATTTGAAGCTGCTATTTGGTTAGCAAAACATCCACGTGTACTTGATTTAGCATTTGAGATATACAATGCAATGTCATGAATTTTAGAAAATTCTCAAGAATCTTTACCAAAATTAAAGTTTTCATTGAGTGATAGAACATCATTAATTACTTTAGTGCCAGATTAGGAATATATTTGCTATTTTTTTTGTAATATTTTATTTATTGATTTATTTTATTTTAACTATATAATTATAAATTTAAATAGACAATGATAGCAAACTTAGAACTTGAAGCAAAAGTATTATTTTTAAGAACAAGGAATAATACTCCTGCATTGTATACTGAATTAGCATCTGCTGTATATAGTATCTCCAAAGTTGATAAGCAGATGCTAGCATTAATTAAGAAGGTTGATAGTTGCTTTGATGATTATCGTTATCACCTCCTTGCAAAGCTTTGAAAGAGAGCTGATGAATGTTTGAATCAATTTGAATAAGTTTTAAAAATAAAAAAAATAATGAACATTGCTATTTACTACCAGTGGTGATATTACCAGGAATACTATATCTTAACAACTTACT